TTAAAGTAAAAGTAGATAGTGTTTGGAAATAGAAGTGATTTTTATTAAAAGGTAAAAGTTGAAGTGTTTGATAAAAAAGTGATTAAGGTATGAATTTATTAAAATACATAAATGCCCCTTTCTAAAAATTAAATGTAAGCCCTTATTCTCTTGAAAGCTATTTCAATTCCACCCAGATCGTGTTCTTCTTGGCCTCCGGCAACCTGGTAGCTAAACACTCCAATCAAACACAAAAGTTGAAAAAATCATTCTCAGTTTCTGACTCGATGGCAAAAATCGCGTCAAGGCCTTCCTCTAATCCCCTCTTTCTTCCAGATTTTGCTTAGGGTTCTCTAATTGCCCTTCAAAAACACCGTATTTACCCCCGTAAGACTGTTCTCGTAGCCACACATCGGATTTATCCTTCTCTCCCAGAACATCTATTTTTGTAGATTTTTGTTTTTGGATTCAAAATTTATATTTGAGTGGGCCTCCGTCAAAGTGGTAGCCTTCCATGGCTAGGAAAAGTTAAGTGTGTGTATATATATGTTGAGGATGAAGGGAGCAAGTGAACTGATGCGCAGCAGAAGAAAGAAGAAGACGCACGAGGGAGAGAAAGGGGCGAAGAGAAACGGTGAAGGGGATACGACGGGATACAGGAAGGTAGGGGAGAGAAAGGAGGATATTTTGGGTTGAAGTGGAAAAATCAGTCATTAGGATTACCCTTGGAGTTGGAGTTATTTGCAAAAATACCTGGAAGCACTTTGAAGCTAGTATATGCCAGCTTCTAACTTTTAACTTAAAAGTATTTTTTTAAATTAGAAGTTGGGTTTAACAAACACTCTTTTTAGCTTTTTTTAATCTAAAAGTTGAAAATCACTTATTTAAAGCAAATGCAAACACTGCTTTAGCTTGCTTTAGCAATGGAAAATCTCAATCCCAAAACCCAATTACTCAAATTTGTTAAGTTCCTCACTGTTTCCATTCTGTGACATACCACCCGCCATCTGGAGTAGGCGGTGCCACCCACCTGCCTAAATATAATTGTCTAGTTTCAATGGAGTTTGACTATATATTAAAATCCCTTATTCATATTCGAACATTTAAGTATTTTTAGTTCAGTAAACTCAGTTCAATATAAATAGTTTATTTTAAGTACTTTTAGTTCAGTAAACTCAGTTCAATATAAATAGTTTATTTTAAGTACTTTTAGTTCAGTAAACTCAGTTCAATATAAATAGTTTATTTTAAGTGAAAATGGTTATTTAAACAAAATAAAAGAACAATACGCAGAAAATTTTGTGGCATAATGCTTTTCAAACTTCCTGGCATTATTTTTTACTCATATAAAGGCAACATGGATTAGAATGTTAGAAACTACGCCCTATGTATGTTTAAATTTTGCCATGACTTGTACAAAGACATCAATCAGCTTTTGAAGACCTCAAGAGGCATTTGAACACAAAACAACATTTTAATTATTAGAAGACAACTTCTTAACTATCTAAAGAGTCCATCTTAATGCATCACTATTTCATTGTAAATAGTAATTTGGATTCACGGAATTTGCATGTTAAAGTGGGAACACATACATACTCACACACCTGTTTATGGGGTCATTCTGATAACCAAAATAACAATTTAAGATTGGTGATTCATAGCAATTTATCGAAAAAAATTAGATGATCAAGCACTTAGCGTAAGATTATCATACATAGATTGAATGACATTTCATCTAATTAGTTTGCAGTTTGCACTAATAATATAAAACAAAGACACATGGTTATTATGTATAGATAGACAACTCAGGCCCAAACTACCTACACTAAGGGACAATTTGGAACGTAAACTTATAAAACAAATCATCTTTTACATTTAAAAAAATGCACTTCTATTTCAAATTTTGTTTAAGTTAACCTACGTATGATAAATTACATTACCGGTGTCATTTATCAATCTAAGAGTAATGCACAGATCCACTCATCTGTCCTCTCAAGCTTATCAGTTCATAAGAAACACTAATAAAGTATTAATTCGCACGTTGTAATGCATACTGATGAAAATAAGTAAGAAGTGTGTGTATGTTTGAGTCTGAGTTTGACGAAGGAGAACACGATATCTGTTATTGAAACATACTTATATCATAACTTAAGGGATTTACTCAATTAAGTCATATTTCCCAAAACTTCAGCAACTTCAACACATTTAGCATATTCAGCCAATTTGTTTCTATTATTACTTCTAGGAGTGGTGTTCGTCAAGGACCAAAAAAAATTGTCCAAGCATAAATGTTAAAAACATCTAAATAGTTTATTTTTCAATCAATAATCCAATATACTTGACAATGTAATTAATACTGAACACAATGACCTAGAGTTTTAGACATACCATGTATCATTATAGAACTGCTCTCTTGGATGTGGTAATGTTAGACCATGAGCTTTTCTTCCTTAGTGTGGAAGTATGCTTCAAAGGAGCCACATTCAAGATTTCAAGTGCATATGCTTCCATTAATCTTTTCACCACAAGAGTGGTTGCATCATTCATATTGACCTTACTCACAGGAGAATTAGTTAATCCTTTGGTTGAGGAATTAACTTTGCTTAAATGAAAACCACAGACGTGGATAGCCATCCTCTAAAGTTTGCTGACCCACCCTTTGCTTCATATATAATGTTGAACCTAAACAGTTTGCTTTCAATTAAAATTTCAAACTCATCTGTGGCGGAAACAATAGAACTGTCTGCGATGTTAATGGGCAGAAGATTTTCCATCTCCGTGGATAGCCATCCTCTAAAGTTTGTTGGTCCAGCCTTTGCTTTATTGATGTTGCTCCTAAGTGTCGGAAGTGCAGAAGTATCCAAAGACCAATTCTAGGGCCATCGGAAATTTGATTGCTGGAGCGGTTTGAATAGATCTAGTTCTTCGATTGGTTTCACAGCCACGAGTTTGAATAGAGCTACTCCCACGCCTGAAAATAGGCCTTCAGCGGCTAATCCTATTGATTTATCGGTGATATAAAATTTGGGAATGGAGAAGAGCGCGAGTGAAGAGATGGAGAAGGGAGCTGTTATTAGGGAGTGTTTGCAACTGCTTAAAAAAAAGCACTTCTCAGCTTTTGGCTTTAAAAAGCACTTATTTACCAAACACTACCAATTTTTACTTTTTCTCGGCTTGCGTGTGAAAAGTGCTTTTCCCTTTTCTATTACACAAAAAGCACTTATTTTACCAAACACTACCAACTTTTACTTTTCAAAATCACTTTTTTCTCAAACACTATCAACTTTTACTACCAATCACTTTTTCATTACTTCTCCAAAAGTGCTTTTTTTTAAGCAGAAGCAGTTGCAAACACTCCCTTAAACTGAGAAGGCTTTCGTATAGCAACGACGTTTACACGATAACGGAAGGGTAATGACCGAAGGAACAACTCTAGAAGCATAGCATACAATTCCATATAGCTTAATGTTACACCAACACATTTTTTATACCCAAAGAACCCCTACCTTCATTGGCATTTATAAGATTTTAGATTTAGATATATATATATATATATATATAACACCCTAAGTAAATTTTGCGAAATCACCTCTTTACCCCAGGCCCAAGGCTTTAAAATTAATCAAGCTTCTCCCGGGCCAAGGCCTTTGTAAAAATAAAAACAATTTCTTTCTCCCTTGCCGCCATCCAAACCTAGCCCTCCGCGCCAGGCGCCGAGGCCGAGGGGCGGGTATATCGCCGGTTACACCACGACACCAAGTGCCTTAGCCATGAGGACATGAGAGGCTCATGCAAACCGTTCCCTTGAGAACGCACTCCAAATTCTCTTCTCTAAAAAAAACCGGGGGATCACTACCCCTCGGCCCCGGAAGGTACCAAGTACCTCCGACCATTTGTGTCCAACACACAAATTAAACCCTTCCCAGAAACGCTTTCCGCGTCATTCTCCAAGGGAGTGACAGGCAACAGACTATGTCCCGGGTCCAGGATTCGACTTTCACAAACGAAACGCTTCCTGCGCTATCCCCATGCACACACACTAAGCGATTTCCAAAAATTGTTGTACTAAACTGATCCAATTAAAAACCTGGAGTCATTTGCCGTAAAAAAGGACTAATTAGTCGTGACTCATGAATACAATATTAATTAGTAGTGGTAATTTTCGAAATAGTTAAAATATGAGGAAAGTGTAACCAACTTGTATGATGTGAAGTAAAGAGTACACTATTTTTTTTATCTTTGAAAGTACACAAATTTGAATTTGTAGTACTAATTGAGTACACCTGTTAGATTAACACGTTAATACAACTGAGTTGACTAGCGGAATGTTGAGTAAGAAAGAGTAATGGACCAAGGTTATGATGACCTTCACGAAGTTGACCAAAAAGGGGGAAATCGACATTCAGAGGTCGACCCACGGGGGGCGTCGGCTAGTAGGGGTGCATCGACCAAGGAAAAGTCGACTTGCGGGGGATTGACGTCGACCTAGAAGAAGTCGATGAAGTAGTTGGAGGTTGGCTCGACCTTCAAGAAATCGACCTATTAGCATTCTGTTAGCCAACTCAGTCATATTAACGTGTTAATCTAACGGGTGTACTCATAAAAAATGTCTTTATTCATATCAAAAGATTCGGGATCATTACATCGGACAAGTGGAAAATAAAACTGACACCAACTGAACTCCAACAACTACGACTATAAACCCTATGATGAGACTTTGAGACGGTCACCCTTGAAAGAGCAACACGAATCGCTAACCATGTAGTGGATTTGACACAGCCAAACCTATTCCCATAGATTCAATCATACCCAATGACATAATGAGAGGTTAAAAACTCAAACAAATTGTCAAAACCAACAACAAAGATGAACACAAGAAAACAAATAACAAGTCTTCAGTATTTTTCGGGCTTACTAAATCAACCGAGTCATGAAGATTGATTTAAATTTTGAATACGACATTGCACGATCTCATTTCGAGTTGCAATGGATTCTTTATGCACAAGTCTTCATTACTTTTTGAGGCTTACTAAATCACGAATTCCTTCTCATACAATTTGATGACCCTTCTCGTTAAAAAACAAGCCAGAGAAAGGGATAGGGAAGTTGTAGAAAGAAGCTCGAATTCCTTGGAGGCATCAGGCATGGCTGATAAACTGGCCCCTGAGAAACGTCACAGCTTCACCCACAACGGTACCCTTCCTGGTTCTCTCTCGCTCAGTGGACATGTATAATTATTATCCCCGTGATTGGCTCTAGGGTCTTATGATTGATTTTTCAGATCAGAAGGTCTTCGAATGGGACCAAACGCTTGAAGAGTTGAACATTTACATCAATCTCCCGGAAAATGTTCCTAAGAAGCTATTCTATTGCACCATAAAGTCCAAACATTTGGAAGTTGGGATTAAAGGCAACCCTCCTTACCTTAGCGTCAGTTCTCTGTCTTCTCTTTTTCTTTCTCAGCTGGTTTAAGCTCTAATTTATTGAGTATCCATATCACTAGACTTTTTATGTATGTTATGGGGTTTGCAGCATGATCTTTCCAATCATGTAAAGACCGATTGTTCATTCTGGACTTTAGGTAATGTTTCTATTAATTAGGAGAAAAAATACCTTCTTTTTAGCCTCTTTGCATTATTCAAGCCTGAAATGGTAGTGCAAAATAAAATAGGGAAATTTCCTGAAACAGGAGAAAAAACAATGTAAAATCGAAGATATGGGTTCTGTGTTTCCCCCCAACAGATGAGTAAATTACTATCATAGTGAAATAACACTGTCATATTTTGGCATTGCAGAGGCATAAATATGGCATTATTAATGACATAATCAGTAGTATTTTCAAATAATGATATTATTTATTAATTATTACTACCTTTCTCCCAATTTAAGGTCCCCATAGCAAAATGTTGCGATTATTTAGACTATAATTAAATAAGGTAATTCGAATATATTTTGAAAAATAGTTGTGATGGGTATATCATATAATGAAGTCATTGATGATTACTGTGATGTTATAAATGTATTATTTTTAATATTTGATGATTAAATTGTCATTTAATAGTACCAATTATTTTTCTTAAATAGAAATGATAACCTTTTTCTGGGATGTCCAAAAAAAGAGTGTGAGAACAGAGAACCTTAAGCTGGGACAGAGGGAATACTATTTAGGGGGGAAACACAATACTCCTATTTTTGAATTTCACATTGTTTTTAATTCTATAATCTATTTGGGGACATTTCTAAATAAACTATGTAATTTTTTTTGTTTTATTTAGTAAAAGATTTGGGTCATGTGAAGTCTCTTCTTTGTGAAGGTAATGGTCTTGCTAATAAAAATCAACAGTATTTGCTTGACGAATATATATTGCCTTTTCAGTGCATCAAAACTACAAAGTATTATGAAGCAGTATGTGTAAAAGCTTGTATTTTTTTTACTGATAAAGGTGTATCCTTGTTATCTAAATCATATCATTGAATGGAAATTGTTTGTGCAAGAAGAGAATGTTGTAGGGAAATCATGGGATAGCATGACAAACTGCAATTTATGCTTTAAATGTTTTTTAATTTCATGTAGCTGTAAAAACAAATGACATCTTGCAGAGGATGATATAATGCATGTAACCCTTCAGAAGAGGGATAAAGGACAGACATGGCCTTCTCCTATCATGGGTCAAGGTCAGTTGGATCCCTATGCCACAGATATCGAACAGAAGCGCCTCATGCTTCAAAGATTCCAAGAAGAGGTGCATACTCTAGACTTAATTTCTCTTCTGTGATTTCTTAGTTCCTATTTGTTTCTGGCCACATGAAGCTCCTGTTTTTTTTTTTTCAGAATCCCGGGTTTGATTTTTCACAAGCTCAGTTCAGTGGCAATTGCCCCGATCCCAAGACCTTCATGGGCGGGATCCGATCGACTTAATCTTGGTATATGATTACTTGATGATTCAATTTCATTTTGACCAAGATTGCCCCATTATCCCATAAATCATGGTTTACTACTTGTTGTCAAGCCAAAACTTGATTTTCCGTTGTATGTCACCATGACTTTTGAAATGGAATTGATTGAACCAAACCTAATTCATGTTATTAACTTAAATATGTCTTGTGATGGGTAAATTTAGTAAATTGTAGGCACTTGTGACCACTACTGATAAGTCATTTTTAGTGACCACTAAAGCTTGATGTGGCCATATCAATTTCAATTTAAACTTGAATTTTGCCAGCCGGATTAACTAGTGGGATCACCTGGAATGATACACACCTTCATTTTATCCAAGTTACCCCTCTAGTATGACAGCTATTGTCTGCTTGGTGCATTTAGCACTCCTGGTTTTCTGGAGACTAGAGATACAAGTTTTTCATCACATGCATTATAAGTTTAACCCATGTGATCAGCTGCACAAGTATGTTTGTTCATAATATAAATCCATTATAACACAATCAAACCTATTATGTATTTTCACTGTTTCGGCATATCAGTAGGAGTCTAGCTAGGGACTCAAAGCTGAACTTTTATCTCTGACTTGGTTGTTGTTTAAACTTCTAACTACCTGATGGACTTGAATATGGATGTTTCTAATGGGACTGAAATTTTCTGGTCTAGTATTGGTCTAGTAAATGTCTGGTTTATGTGTATTTTATATCTATTCAAGTCTGGTCTGGTCTGATCTGGTCAGGTTTGGTAGGTTTGGTCTGATCTGGTATTCTGGTTAGGTCTAGTCTGGTCTGGTCTGGTCCGGTCCGGTCCGGGACTGAAAACAGTCCAAGTCAAAACATCCTATGTATGTATTAAATGCATACATTGATACATGATACATCATAAATGCTTAATTGAGATCAAAGTAATTTTTTGAGGCAAGCATAAACGCATCCAGTTTTGACTAATTCAACTTCAAATTGATCCTTGCTTGGTTGATTTTAAATGCTTTTCAAGCCTAATTAGTTTTAAGGGTGTTTGATGGAAATCCTGACTCTAATATTGAGGAAGTAGAAGATAAAGAGTAAACTTATAGACTAAATATAGGAATTTATAACCAATAAATCATAACTTATAAAGCTCTCCATAATAATTACAAAAATGCCACCGCGTATAAATTTTTTCCATGTTTCCGTAATATTTTTTGCGGTGGCACTTTCGTAATTATTTTCGAGGGGTCTATAAGTTATGATTTATTGGTTAAAAGTTCCTATATTTAGTCTATAAGTTTAACTTCGCAATTCTCAGCCTAAAAGCACTCCTCACCTGATCCGCTCCCTATATTTTCAAGTTATTTTATGTGTTTCTTTCTTGGTGATGTCTAGGTTTGTATATTTCTCATCGATGGGACTGATCAAGTGTTGAAATGTTGTTGTTAGTGGTTGAAAATAATTGCTTGTTTGATTTTTATGGGAAGTTAACTTCACACATCTCTTGAACCACCGCCATACTATCAGAGAACGATAGTGCTTCATTGAATTTTCTTTGCGGTGGTTGGTCAAATTGATGATATTGAGTATTTTTTCCTAGAAGCTGGTCAAATTGAGGACGGTTGTTTTTTGTGATTGGACAAATCAGATTTTCTATTATTTTCTTGTCGAATGACGGTGAAACCGATTTATATTATGTATTTTCTATCGCAAAGTAGTTTTGATTATTAGTTTAGTAAGATGAGCTTCTATGTTGATAGAACAATCTATACTTCTATGGAGTTGGTGAATTGTTGTCCTTTGGAATTATTTAGATCTATGTCTCATTGTCTCATCTTATTGTAGCTTTAATTATTTGAATTGCTTTAGAAAAATGGTTATAAAACTACTATTAAGCACAAATTCAAATAATGAACGAGAAATTATTTTGGGATGGAGATAGTGATACATTTCAAATTAACACAAATAAAACTTACTATCCGTTGTGAAGGTTAGGCATATATGTTGCCGTGGAGGGTTGAATTTTGGATCACCTCTGTTACTCTGTATAACATTTCACAATCGAATAGGAATTCCACTCCAAATCGAAAACATTTAGCATCGACCTAATTCTAGTTCTTCTATATTATGGGACACTATTAGACAAATTTTGTGAGTTTTTTCGGACCAAGAGTACTTTTCGTCACGTCTTCCCATTATCACTGCAACTATGGTACAATTGTCACATTAGTTATTACACATCATGCCAGCAATCCTATGTCATTCAATTTAAGTGTTTAAGTGTGTTTTAAAAATAAAATAAAATATGTAGTCTCCAAAGATCGAACCTTAGACTAGAACATGATACTACCTCTCTTTTTTCGATATTTGATTGACATAGTTTGAACATCAAGATGAGATAGCTTTTACTAGGTATTTATTGTTCCATATATTACTTCTTTTACAAAAATTAAAAAAAAAATAAAATAAGATGCTTAATTCGAGATATTCAATTAAGAAATAAGAACTTATTAACCTAATAAGAACTTATTTGAAATTATTTAACTAAAAATAATTTCAAATAACTCAAAACTAAAAAATCAAAAAATAAGTAAATTTCATTCTAGTCCCTAGCCCATATCAAATTAAAAAAAAATGTTAGTGTAATATATCGTAAAAGTTTTGATATACGAAAAACTCCTTATAGCGACTCAACTTGGACTTGGTACCGAGCACAATAATGCTAGTTGTATCCTGAACTTACAGAGATGTTACTCAAATATCTAAAAAAAGACAATAGGACCACGTGAAGAATCCAATGTAGGGATGGACTCGGGCCGGGCCAACCGGACCGGCCCGCTACTGTGCGGGCCCGGACCGGCCCGGAACCAGACCGGCCCGGTGAACCGGTTAGTGCCCGGTTCGGGCCACCCGGCCCGGTGAGATAGCGGTCCGGGCCCAGGCCTGCTATTTAGTGAACCGGCCCGGCCGGGCCTTAACGGTCAGTTTTTTTTTTTTTTAAATTGTTAAAGGCTCTATAGCCGTTGGTAGAGCTCCCAAACGGCTCTATAGCCGTTGGGAGCATAGGAGGGGGGGGGGGTCTGGGGGGATAGGGGGTGGGGTGGGGTGGGGGGTGGGGTATACAAAAAAACCTATTTATACTCCTATTTTCTATACATTTTTTACACCTCTTCTTCTACAACTCTTCCTACAGCTTAGTCATGGACCCGGGCCGGTTCCAGTTCCGGGCCGGGCCGGTTCCAGTTCCGGACCGGGCCCGGCCGAGCTTTTTTTTGGGAAGGAAGGCCCGGGACCAGCCCGGGTAGCCACCGGGTCCGGTCCGGGTCCGGGCCTCCGGTTCGGTCATTTTTTTTTTGCTTTCCTAATCCCCCCCCACCCCCCACCCCTCTTAACCATCAAGCCCAACCCGGGTAACCCCAAAAAATGAAAAAAAAAATCAAAAAAAAAAATCAATTCGGCCCGGACCCGGGCCCGACCGGGCCGGTTCGCCAAATACAAGGCCCGAGCCCGAACCCGCCCCCCCACCGGGCCTAGGCCCGACCCGGACCCGGACCCGAGAACCGGGCCGGTTCCGGGCCAGGCCGGTCCCGGGCCGGGCGGCCCGAACCGGGTCCATGACTATTCCTACTCTCTAATTCTCTATTCTCTCAATCTCTCATATTCAATCATCTTCATTCTTCATCTTCTCCAAATTCTTTCTACATATACATAATTTATATAATTATTATATCTACTTATATATTAATTATCTACTTATAAATATATACTTATACACATTCATATTATAATTCCTTACACATTATATATACTATATATAGTTATACACATTCATATTTACTTGATATTTAGTTATTATCCATACTATTGTTATTTACTTATATTTACATAATACATTTAGTTAATATATACTTATATATATATATATATTAAAGTATTAAGTATAAGTGTATTACTCATCTTATAGTAATATACTTATATATTATATACTATAAACATTATATTATATATTACTTATAATATATTTACACATTATATATACTATATATACTTATACGCATTCATATTTATTTGATATTTAGTTTTTATCCATACTATTGTTGATATTTACTTATATTTACATATTACATTTAGTTAATATATACTTATATATATATTAAAGTATTAAGTATAAGTGTATTACTCATCTTATAGTAATATACTTATATACGGAGTATTATATACTATAAACATTATTGTTAGAACTTTTATTGTGAGTCAAGTTTGTCTGTAATGTCTTGTTTAATAAAGTAGACTAGTTATACCATTTATGGTATTAGATTAGTAATCATTTTGTAATAAATAGGTTAAAGGGAATAAGGCCCAAAAAGGCCTTGGCCCAAACCTCAAGGTTTACCTAAATCGGTAACCTGTACAGCGCCTATAAATATGCGCCTTGTGTACAGGTACCGATATCGATCAATACATTCTCTAGCCTTACGCTGCCCAAATAGTTCTCGATATAATAGAAGAAGAATTTCTCTGTTCTCGATATTGCCTTATCATTATCAGATCTTCCTTCTTTCTGTTTATCGTTGAAATCCATCTAGTAGATCGTTAGTCTGCATTTACTGGGACCAACGACTGGTATCAGAGCCTGCTCGAGTGTGATCGCCGAAGAAAAAGTTTTCGAAGTCCCCTGTTTTCATCTTTTCGATATTGTACCTTTTTAATCGCTGTAATCTCATTTTTGAACGAAAAAGTGTAAAAGATGTACTGCTGAAATCGCCTCTCAAAAACGAGCAAGCAGTATATCTTAGATTTTCGATTTGTTTAAGTTTCAGATTTGAGGTTCTCGATATTCTGATATCGAAAAGCAGGTTTCTCGAAGTTTCTGCATGTTTTTCAATCTTCAAACTGCACAAAGAGGTTCTCGAGATCAAGGACTTTACAGAAAAGCTGTTTTATCTGTTTAAAATTGATTTTTGATTTACAGGATTTCGACACTGACTTCTCGACATAAGTTTTCGAATTGAGTTCTCGAACTTCTGTTCTCGATACTCAGTTTTCGATATTAAAATCTCGATATCTTGTTTTCGCATTTGCAGGTTCTCGATACGGCTTCTCGACATTCAGTTCTCGAACCTAAGTTTTCGAACTTAAAGTTCTCGATACTGACCTTTCGAAAGCTGCTTCTCGAACCTGGCTTCTCGATAGCAAGGTTTTCGATATCAAAATATCGAAAACTGCTTCTCGATAG